ATCATCATCATCATCATCATCATCATTCTGGGCGTGGAGACTGTGCAATAATGTGCACTGCAGCACTAGTTCTTGATTGTGGCTATCAATGTGGCGAAAGAAGAGATAAGGGTTTAATGAGAGATACTTTGTGACCTTATATTTATCTGCAGTGTTTCATTTCTTAAGCTGGGGGTTGGGTACATAGTTGTCCCTGAGGTTATTCCCTATACTTTTGAGTTTTTTCATAAAAATTAAAAAACAAACAAAACAATGACTTACCAAGCTATCCACATCTATGCTGGAGTTCACAGCCCACTGCAACGTACTCATGATATTCATGGCTAAAGTTAGAATAATGCCAACTCTTCCTTCTCCTTCACCTATAGGTGGAAAAAAAGATAAACAACCTTTTTTGTATCTCTCTTCTTTGAACTCCTTTATACCTCTCCTAGGGCATTTGTCATTTAATGTTACATTTCAATTTTGTGCCAGTTTTAACCATCTTTCATCTCAGTTCGGCATAGCATCTACCACTAATAATAAGGCCCTGCTTATAGTAAGTATTCAACCAACGTTTTAAATCAGAGAGTGAAGATTAGGAAAGAGTTGCCCTCTTTTTAAATGTTTCAGATGTTATAGGGGCTGTTGGTGTTGGGTAGATACCACGTTTACCTCCTCTACTGTTATTCTGTAAGTAATACCTTCCAAGACTATAGTGGATAATGGAAGAAAAGGCCTGTGTCTCAATGAGCTCATCTACAATGAAGTTGAAAGCAGGGGAAGGTGTGAGCAGCATCCAGAAGATGTTTAGGTGTGTTTCGTGCCTTATGAGGACTGTCTCTGCTCATCAGGTACTGTTGGGGAGAAAGTGGATTTCAGAGTTTCAAGGGCAAGTCAAAACTCATGGGTCTGCCCTTTGAAAAGACAAGACTGCCATTTTTGTTTTTCAAAAAAGACAATACTAGTTCACTTAGGAAGAACAATACTTAAGTGTTTAATTAGAGTAAGTAGGTTTTCAGAGCTGGAGAGAACCACTGATTAAAAT